GAGGGAGGTTCCTGGAGAAGGACATCATGCTTGGAAATGTGGAGGGTTGATGAAAAAGAGGAAGACCCTCAACAAGACAGTGAGGGCTGCAACAGTGGGCTCAGAGCTGTGCCTCTGAGGAAAGGGGCTGTGTTCTTCTGCAGCAGAGGAGAGTGCCACGAATGGAAATGAATTCAACTGCACCTGACAACTGACCCAGGACACAATGCCTTCTGGAGCCCTGAGCAAGACTCTGAGGCCGGCTGGAGGGCAGTCCTGGTCTGGAGTTTGGGGGGTCCAGGCAGAACTCCCTCAGACAGCCCCTTCTGGAGAGAAGGGCTCGCCTAGATAACCCATCTGCCTGCAAGCATTCCACGGCCTAAGCACACTCTCCCCAGGGCTCCTGAGAGTTTTCAGAATTTACACAGGGCTCAGGGAAGTATTAAATGACAGATTTCCCCCGCCTCCCCCTGCCCTCTTTTTTGAGATCTTCTACTTCCTAATAAGATCAATTCTAAAGAAAACACGCTCTGATCCTCCATTCAGCTCTTCACTGACACAAGCAGCAAGGGACCAATTAGTGAGCCTGGTGATGTGTGGGTGGAAAGAACCAGAAAGGACCACAGGCTGGGCTGCCCTCGGCCACCCTCCAGGTGGGGCTGCTTCACATCAGAAATAGGATCCCTCTGTGAAGGCGCAAGTGACATCCTGTTCTCTGCCTGGTATTTCCATGGCATCTGTCTGGACAAAGAGTTCTATTACTGACTTGGCCTGTGGCATATCTGGGATATACTTGGATACCTTCACTTAGATCTGATACATAAGAACAAACAGAATGAAAATGACTAGTCCCAGTTAGCAGACACAATAATTGAGGCTCAGGGGGGAAAAAAACCAAACAATCCAGTGAGAACAGACTCAAAGCAAATGTACTGTGTTCTTCATTTAATCACTGACAGTGTGAGCTTGGGTGGACTTCTCCCCTTTCCAGATGCCAGTTTTATCATCTGTGACATGAGGGGATGGAGAAAATGATGAGGATGTCCTTTTACAAAACTCTCTTCTGCAGATAAGCTACCCAAGAAATGGAGCTTCCTTGAGGTCAGTTGTATGTGTTTACTAACCTAAAGGTTGGTGGTTTGAGCCCAGCCTGTGGACATAAAGGTCTGGAGTTCAGCATCCAAAATGACTGCAGCCAAGGAAACCCACAGAGGAGCTCTTCCTAGGGGCTGCCCTGAGCTGTGTGTGCTCGGGGACAATGAGGTTATTTATTGATTTCTAGGTTTTAGGATATTCAGTTGGTGAGGTAAGTGTGGACAACACAGATACTGCTGTTTCCCGTGCTGCCTTTTCCGAGAGGAAGTCATCAGAGCATCCCACCGCTGCCTCCCCTCTCTGCTGCACCGTGGGCCACATGGACCTCTAGTTGTCCTCTGGACCTCGAAAAGACAGGAGCCCACAGAGGGGGTGCAGGAGAGTGACATGTTCCTACAGTATTACAGGAAGCTCCAATGTTCCCTGGTGCTTGTTAGAGATCAAACCAAAAAAGGCTACCACTGAATCAATTCCAGCTCAGAGAGGCCCTTCAGGGCAGAGGAGAATGGTCCTCAAGGATTTCCAAGGCCAGACGTCTTTCTCCTGTGATGGGTTCAAACAGGCACCTTTCAATTAGCAACCAAATGTTTTAACCATTATATCACCAGGAACCCTGCTTCTTCTTAGAGGAGAGACGTCTTGCCCTTGGCACCTTTTTTCCTGGACAGCAATGATAGACTGTGACCCATGCCAAGTCCTGTGCTCAATGAAAGGATGAGGAAACACAGAAGAGTCACAGTCACCTTGAGAATGTTCTGACTAGGGGTGGGGAGCCAGGTCACTGCACACGGCTGGGTGGGCTACGCTTGGACATACAGCAGAATCTGGCCCCCACTGGATCGCTAAGACCCTGGCACTGGGCATCCCTGGCTGGAAAAAGGAGCGGTCTCTTTGAATGTAACTCACGTGAAGGTACCAGCTGTGTACCAGGTGGACAAGTCTTCCAGGATCTAGCAAATTTCAGGTGGGATCAACACTGACACACCTTCATCTGAGCACATCCCCATCACACGGCTGGCAGAAGCACACACTTTTACCAAGAGTCACAACACAATTTTCTAACTTCAGGGAATCAATGAACCTGCCGGCTGAATGAATCTGTCTTCTTGTTGTGTACCATCCGGTCAGAACCAAGCAACAGCTGACCCTCCAGTCAGAAGCAGTTAACTGCACATCTTTCTTCTGCAGAACAGCTGGTGGATTCGAAAGCCTGACCAGCAAGGTGGTTTCCCATCTTTAGTCTCAGGCTCTCAGTGACACCATCCAAGGCGCCTTTGTGTCCCTCCCCCACCAGGGGCTGCTCAGCAAACAAAGAACAAATCGCAACAGCCTTATTGCCTTCTATGGGATTGTGTCTTCGCTATCTATTTAGAGTCTAACCACATGCCATTGGGGCAGCCAGGGCACATGCCCATGAGAGACGAGATAACTGGGGCTCCCAGGAGGAGGTCAACTGGCCATGTCCTAAGCTAGCCCTGTTAGGGAGCCCAGACCCCTGACTCTTCATATACGGTCCCTTCCTTACACCAAGCCATCATCTCCTATGTTTCTTTAATAAAACCAATTGTTGCCACAACAAAGCATCTTGGATGGTTCCACCAAAGGCCTACAACATGCTCCTCCAAGCTCTTCCCCTAAAAGAACCCATGGAAGCCAAACTTTGATCCGCTCACAGTGGAGGTTCAGATTATTCCAAAAGGCAGTGGTTTATTTCACCCAACTTGGAAAAGGGGGCTTGGGCACCCCTGAATACAGGCACCATGGATTTGTGGTCCTTCTAGAAAGCAGGAGTGGTGTGGGTTAAGGGCTATGGACGGGCTATTGTTTGGATTCATTGCTTTTAGGAAGGGAGAAGGGGGGAGAAGCCACTTGGGGCCTCAGGGAGACACAGGGGGCTTTGTTTTCTCACCATGGACTTTCCTGCTTCGCATTGGCCATCAGCTCTGACAGATGGCTTGGCTGTAGAAGGGCAGAGGGTAAGCGCATGGCCAAGGCAGCTAAGACACTGTGGCACAAGATGACACAGACAGCTAAGCTGGTTTGGGGAGCTCCAGTTTCAGGCCAGGAAGCTCTGGTGGCTTAGTGGCAGGGAATTAGGCTGTCATCACAAATGTACACAGTTTGAATCCACCAGCTGCTATTCAGAGGGACAAGGATGGGGATTCTCCTCCCATGCAATTTACTGCCTCTGAAAACCGGGTGAACAATCAGATATGGATCAGCTCTGACTCGCTGGTGCACAATAACAACAACAACAGCAAGGTTCAGGCCTGGGAGACTTGGGGAAGTCTCCTCAATGCTTGCCTACAGCTGCCACATCTGACAGATCTGTACCTTTCTACACACCTGTGTCGTTCCAGCCACCAGCCAAGACTGAGGTGAGAAAGAGAAGAGTGTGGGGCCCCAGCAGGAAAGCCGAACAATGTTCAAGGTCACGCTTTCTTTTCCCAACCTGCCCTAACCCCTCGTAGAACCACAGTATATGGTGCTCATCTTCCCTAGGGAAGAGATACATATTTCAAGAAAAAAAAATTAATGATCCAAGGTCTTGGCAAGAGATAAATATCGCACACACCAGATCTATTGAGAGAGGTTAGCTCAGCAGACCCCCTAAAGTAGCAGGGATCTGGGGGGAAGGAATAGATCTTTCGAGGACATCCAGGTCCTGAAGGGAGCAGTAGATGAGGAGAGAAGAAGTATGAGGCCTTCAGAGTAAAGGCCAGTGTGCCCTGGTTAACTCTGATGTCTGTAGCCACCCACCCGTCTGTGTGTGTGCGTGTGTGTGTGTGTGTGTGGTATCAGCAGTACTATCCTGACAGTCGGAGCCTCAGCATCAGATCTGTGGGGTCAAGACATCATGGGACCCGAGGGAGCTGAGGCAGTAGCTGGAAAATGCACAGTGGGGGCTAGGCAATCAGGTTAACCAACATGCCCACTGCCCACTGCCCGAGAGAACGGGACCCCCATGGGTGAGCTTTGATGACAGACAGTGAGAGGCATGAAGCCATGAGGCTGTGTCCCCGGTGACGGGCAGCTCAGAGGGGAGTTTTCACACAGCAGGGAGATGAGAGGTTAGGAGAGATTTTTTTAATTATTATTATTTTATGTGTGTGTGTGTGTGTACCATCAAATCAGATCTGACTGGTACAGGAGGAGATTGTCCCTCCTTTCCTGGCAGAGCATCTGGTGGATTCGAACCGTAGAGATTTTTTTTTAAAAAGAGAATGGTAGGTAAGAAGATGCTAGAGGT